CTTAAGTGGTATCTGAGGAAGTGGTTATGCCTTTTGTTTCAACTTCTTCCAAGTGACCCTGGCCCCAGCCTCTGATTATGCTGCCCCACCTAGTCCCCTCAGCCCTGGAGTAGCAGTGGATTCCTGGTTACTCTGCCACTTTCTGCTGGGCTCCTCCACTCTTCCATCCCCTATGTAACCAATTCCCTGCATTCGATTCTATGTTTAAATTCTCAGAGCAGGTACTGCTTCCCGGGATCCTGCTCAATACGATACAGTCTGTCCATCCTCCCATCATCCTCGCCACCCTTGCAATGACTTAAGTCCTCATCTGTAGGTACTTGTTCAAGGTCTGCCTACCCACTGGACCAGAAGCTCCTCTAGGGAAGGGACTGGTCTGGAGGCTCTGGGCTTCCTCCCCAGAGCCTGACACGCAAGTGCTCTGTGCTTCACATTTGTGGTTGGCTGCAGGTAAGAATAGAGACAAGGTCATCTAGTGGGTGGGCACAGAGAGAAGGGTGCTGTGCAGAAACCAGACTGAAAGGGGTCCACTCAAGTGGGGGGATGAAGCAGACACCTGGAGTACCAAGAAGTTTCAGAGTGAAGTAGGGGGAAAGGTTGGGCTAATGTATAGGGAGAAAGCTAGGGTGGGGATGGTTTTGTTTGTTTCCTTGTTGTGTTTAGGTTGTCCCCAGCTTGATCACATTGGTAGGTTGAGAAGAAGCAGCTAAAACAGGGAGATGTTGAAGAGCAGGAGCTGCTGGGACATTGGGGCTGGAACAACACATCTTACATGGTCCCTCAGGAGAATTAAATCTACCAGCAATGTTGAGGCTGGTGTGCTGAGGGGACTGGAGGCAGGGAGGTAAGATCAGAGGGGAAAACCAATCAAGAAGTGAGAATCTGAGTCAACCCAGGGCTCCCTAAGAAGGCTCCAAAGTTGGGAGGGTGTCCCAGGAAGGTATGTCCAGGACCTGCTCTTGTAAGGTCAACTTTGCCCAGTACCCCACAGAGATCCCCACTCAGGAGGCTCCATCCTTTGCTGAGATCAGCACTTTCCTCGCCCTTACCCACATCGCCAGGGTTCCTCCTCTACTCCAGGAGCCCTTTGGATCAAGTTGCCCCCTTCCATCTCCCCATGTGGGGCAGGATTGTGGGGGGCAGGCAGAGGCCAGAACCAGCACTCAGTGGTATGCTACAAACATTGAACCACCAGCTTAGGGGACAGGTTTGCCAATTTCCATGGTGTAAATACTCCCAACCTGTCCAATTTCAGGCCACCAACATGAGGTCACTGATGGCAGAATAGGAAGAGAGCTCCACCACACCACTGCCTCTATCCATCCATCCTTTCCCTCTCCTACCTCCCTGACCCCCTCCATAAACCTCTGGACTGAGAGTAGCAATGGGGCAGGTCTAAGCTAGGGAAGGCAGCAGCAGCCCTGTGGCTGCAACCTCTGGCAGACCCCTGATGGAGAAAGGAAAACAGCTCCTTCTCCCAGAACATCCACCCTAGCCCCCAGTCACCCTTATCTCAGCCTCACATCTGAGTTCTCAAGTGTAACTTCAGGATCTCCCAGGAATTTGGAGCTCACAGACACTCAGATGATTCACCAGCCACTTTCTCACTGGACAGGGCTGAACACCATAAACTGAGCTGACTAAGGCAATAGAAACCAGAATATAATTTCCTCTCTTCCAAGGCAAACAGGAAAGGAAAAATGATCCAAGGATGGCACTGTCTCCCCGATACACAACATTTACTCACTCTTCATCACTCTTCTACAGAACTGGGGACACTTGGCTCCTTGAAGTCCAAAGTCTCTTTGCAGAGTCCTGCATTCAGGAAGACAGGGGCTCTGGTGTCACACCTACTCTGAATCCTCGGTTTTCTGTTATAGCAAAGTGGGCACGTTACTTCTCTCTGAGCCTCAGTTTGCTCATCAATGAAATAGAGATAATACTACCTACTCTATGAGGTTAGACTGCAGGGGTCCTCAATCAGGAGCAATTTTGCTCCGTTGGGGCAATGTCCAGAGACATTTTTTGTTGTCCCACTATGGGGGTTGGGGAGTGCTACTGGTATAGTGGACAGAAACCAGGAATGCTCTTAAACATCCTACAATTCACAGGACAGCCCATTCCAACAATGAATTGTCTAATCCAAAATGTCTGTAGTGCCAAGTTGAGAACCCCTGGACCAGAGGGAATTTTCAGGGAGGTTATGTACACGAAGCACTTGGTGTCTGGCTTACTTTTCGCAAGCTCTCACAAAACACAAGCTGCTATTCTTTTGGAATAGCACAGTCTCATTCTTCTATTTCCAGACCTAAAATAGATGGGATGTGAAAATCTTTTGAGTTCTGAGAGCCTAGCTCACTGCTCCAGGTGTGAGTCACCCTGTAAATGTCAATTTATTTTATTTAAAGCAGAGCTGAGGTTGCACAAGTGACTCAGGGCTAGAAGCCTTCCCAGGTTGTTGTGACTTAGGCTGCATGGAAGAAATTTTGCCCTGAAGCTCTCCTTCCAGAGTACAAGCATTTCAAGACTTACAGACACCATGTGCTCAGTCCGGGTAGATGTTGTATTGTCTCTCACCTCACCCCACACACAGTGGGGCTTGGAAAGACCTGAGAAAAGTAGCTGAAACCGACAGACCCTGCTTGTCCTGAATACCTTCCTTATTAGTGTATAGTGGTTTGTTCCTCCCCTGCAACCTGACATGACATTCCTTCTCCAGAGTTCCAGCTTTGGACCAACACAGTTCACTCTCTCCCACTGATACCTATTAGTGTTAGTGGATAGATTTAAAGACAGATAATCTTGATGGTGTTGGTGGGGGTATGCAGGGGACCCAAGACCAGAGAAGTGTCAAGGGAACCCGGGTGAAGTACAGGGCCACTGGGTGTACTAAAGAAGAAATGGTGAGGCCAGCTACGGTGGCTCATGCCTGTAATCCCAGCACTTTGGGAAGCTAAGGTGGGAGGATAGCTTGAAGCCAGGAGTTTGAGGCTAGGCCAGGCAACACAGCAAGACCCCACCATCTCTACAACAGATTTAAAAATCAGCTGGGTGTGGTGGTGTGTACCTATAGTCCCAGCTACTCAGGAAGCTGAAGCAGGATGATCGTTTGAGCCCAGGAGTTCGAGGCTGCAGTGAGCTATGATCATGCCACTGCTCTCCAGCCTAGGCAAGAGAGCAAGAGCCTGTTTCTAAAAATAAAATAGTAAAAAAAAAGAAGAAGAAGAAGAAGAAATGATGAAAGAGGGAGAAGGCAAAGATGAGCCAGGTAGCGTGCGCGCTGACTCCGGAACTGTGCCCACATCTTTCCTGAGAAGTGGCGTGCCCAGAGGCAAACAGGTGGTGGGAGAGACAATAAGGGCATCCAAGATTGCTGATGCCGACCTGTACTTCAGGCCAAGCTCCACCTCTCCTTGAGTCACTGAATGCAAAACCCTGGCGGTAGAAGGAGCTTTGAGGGCCACCAGTCCAGCTTCTTTCTTGCCCACCATCTCCCAGCAGGTCAGTGGCAGAGACCGTTTGGCTCTAAAGCACAGGCTCTAAGAGAGCCACAACCTCAAATGCTTCAGGGGCCAGACAGATGACCTAAGGTTAAATGGTTGGATATAAAACAATAGGGGCGGGGGCTGTAAGGAATAGCAGGTTCTGCTCTAAGGCATTCAAATGTGAATTTAAAAAAACACTGCACCAGCCAAAGCAAGCATATTTCTGGCTTGAGTGAGTGGGTGAAGCCCTCAGGTTGTGAGTTTTCAACCACTACCTAAATGAATGGTCTTCCCTTTCCCCCAACAGAGATGTCTGTTGGGTGCAGATCTCCAGAAAGAGGCTTTGAGCTACCAGAGACTGTCTGCAAAGCAGTCCCGAGCAGACAGTTGGCTTGGCTCAAACATTTCCAGAGAATGGGTGCTCCTTGCTTTTCAAGACAGCCTTGGATGGGGCTGGCCCTTCCCTACCACTAAAGCCACTCGCCACACCCACCGTGGACTTCTGATGGAGGTGGGGTGCCCAGAGTAGGAGTACCTCATTTATTGTGCAAACTTACAAAAAAATTAAAGTTTGGAATTTTCTTATTACAAATAAAATACAAGCTCACTGTGGAAACACTAGAAAATACAGATGAGCAAAAGTCAGAAAAGAAAAATTATCCATACCTTCCCTACTCCTTCCTTTACCTCCCACCCCCATTCAGAAAGAAGCACTGTTGACACTTTGGTGCACATTCCAAACTCCAGATCCTTTTTTTTGCTTCTGGAAGTTCTCATCTTCTTTCTGGCTCGGTAGCCTGCAAACCCAACGAAGAACCACTGCTCGCACCACTACGCCCCTCCAGCCGCGGGAGGGGGTCGCACCACGCCCCCGCACGCTTTCTTTGGATCCCGGTGTCAACACACAGGTCTGCCTGCCCTGCGTAGGTCCTCCACGTCGCACGATTCTCGAGAATAGGGACTGTAACCTTACTCATCCTCAGGGACTCTACAGCGCCAGGTACACAGTAAGTGCTCAATAAAAGTGCTCCTAACCCGACCACCTCAGGCGCCACGAGAGGCAGCAGTGAGGAAACCGAACACAATCCACGAGGGCGAGCGCCTCGCCGTCTCCAAGGTAACCGAAGTCAGAGGCTGGGAATGCCCACGCATGCGCACACTCGCCCTTCCTTCCCGTAACCTCGAGGAGCACGCAACCGGTAAAGACTGCCAGAAGCCAAGCGCGCATGTGTGGTTACACCAACCAGGGTGGCCGCCCCCAATCTCCTCTACATTGTCCGGAAATAGTGCCCAATTATGGAAACCAGGCCTCGTTAACCAATCGTTGCTGGGGAGCGAAACGACCGTCCAGCCAGGACGGCGCTCTCATTGGCTAGCTTGGAAGGATGGGCGGGCCCAAGGGTCGCGGTGCGGCCAAAGAGAGGAGGCGCGAAGTGAGGCAAAGTTGCGGCCGCTGGGGGGGGCGTGCCCCGGTATGGGGGCGTGGCCCTGGCGGGGGCGTGGCCCCGGGGCGGCCGGGAAGGCGGTGAGGGGGCAGGGCCTGGGCTGGGGCGGGTGGACTGCGGGCAGCGATCGCAGCGGTCGGCAGCAGGCGGCGGGAGATCGCAAGCCAGCGGAGCGCTACACTCGCCGGATTGGGGAGATCGGCGCTCGGCCGGTAGGTGACTGGTCGAGACCCAGGGGCCGGATCGGTGCGCCGAGGGAACGGCCCGGACGGGTCGCCCCTGAACACGGGCTGAGCGGCGGCCTGGCCCGCCCGCCGCCCTAGGATGGTAGGGATCGGCGGCGCGGCCCGGCGTCCTCCGTCGAACCCACTCGAGGCCGCTCGCCTGCGCGCCCTCGCAGGCGCTGCTAGGGCCACGGCCGCTCGCCGGGCGCGCCCCGGGCCTCCAGGCCGCGCACCCTCGATGGCCACACGCTCGCCCGAAGCGCGCGCAGGGACGCTCTGCTTCCCCTTCCCCAACACCGGGTGCCACAGCCAGGCTCGCCCCCTGCTCCACGGCCTGGGTGGCACCAGGATGGGGGCTTGCCTGGGCGCGGGGTGGAAAGTGTCTCCTCCAGAAATGCGCCACCCTCCTGCCTGGCAGTGAAACCATTCAGGCCTTCCTTGGGAAGTTCTCAGGGTCACACCGCAAGGCGCAGGAGCTGAGCCTGCCTTCGGTACCCAGTGCCGCCGCCCTCAGTATCTTCCTCCTTCCCCTTACTTGGACCCTCCTCTTTAATTCTGTGTGCTCGGGACTTTATCTGTCAGTTTGGGTGTAATAGTCCCATCTTGGAAGCCCACGGTGGCCGTGACAACTTACAGCCACGGAGCACCAGACAGACCGAGGCCACTTGTACAGTGCACTTTCTCACCTGCCCAGCAGCCTCTTTGGCGCTCAGTAACTTCAGAAAAAGTATTTCCATCCTAGTTGAAGTTAAAAAGTTGCTGTCAGCCCTAAAGGGTGGACTAGGGTGTGGATGGGTATACGGAGGAGAGGATGGGTGGAGAAAAGATACAGAAATCAGTAGTGTAAATGGCAAAATTAACTTTTCTTAACTGGAGACAATGGACACCAATGACTTGATGAAGGACTTTAAAATCAAGAGAAATTAAATGATGAGAGTGGGGCTATGACAGAAAATAGCAGTCTGAAGTTTATTCCAGGAAAAATGTTGAAAACCCCATGGTCTTTCTGAAAGATTAGGAGATAATGTCTTAACATTAGTGGTGTGTTTTTACTTAATGTCTTCATACCTGTAACCTTTTTCTTTCAGATGTCTGTGTGGTCAGGTAGATTGTATTGTCCTGTTTTATAGGTGAGGCACCTGAGGCAAATTGTGTGTGTGTTGGAGGTGGGGGGTTATCGATCTTGCCTGGTGCCTCATAGAACTAAGGGTGGGTCTTCCCCAGGCTTCTAGATTAGGATCACATAGAACTCAGATGCAGAAAAGAGAGAGAAGTGTTTGGAATGGTATTTATGCTCTTAATTTGAGAGGACACTTAAAAGGTGCTTGTCTTGCTTAGAATGTGTTTGGATTTACTCTTGGTGATTTTTAAGTGATGTCAAAGTCAGTTCCTTTGGAACAATGCCAGACCTCTAAGTTTTTCAGACACCTTGAGAACATCCTCATTTATTTTGAAGGGTGTGGTGCACTTCTTAGAAGATCTCAAAATAAAAGTGACTTTTAATTTTAGAAATAAGTACCCAGGTATATGTACCAGCACTTTTGTGAAACCAGACAGCAAGAAGCTGCCAAACTTTAGGTCATCTTCTGTTTTCTGATTATAAGGAGCAGTTCTGAAGAGGGGGTTTTGCCACTGGTATTGTCTGTTAAGAATTTGTGGGAGAGGCACCACAGGGACCCTGCCAAATGAGCCTTCATCTATTAAACAAAAATGTCTGGTTGGGCTGTTTCGCCTCAACAGATGGAGGTTTGGTTCCTCATTTTGGTTCTCCTGTTTGAACACTGACTCCTTTGTGATCTGCTTGGTGTGTTTATATATCATTTAATGCTGAGAAGATGGCTTGCCCTGATTGGTTGTCCAGACCTAGGCAACTGTTGTGATTTTTTTTTTGGCAAGTGATAACAGTTCATCCCTGCCTAGGGTCTGGCGCGGGATCTGCAGAGATGTGAAAGAGGGAAAAGGGTTATCCAGGGTTGTTTTCTTCATTGTTGCCACCCTCTTAAGAGTGTTGTATCACTTTGGCCTGTGAAGTCACTTTTAATTTCCTATTTCTTTTCCTGTCTCAATGGACAGCACGTGGACTTTCCTGACCGCCTGCCCATCTTGATGAAACACTGACAGATTCATATTGGTTGCCTTGACAGAGGTTCTTTCTTGGGGAGAAAGTTCAGAAATCTTAAAACCAAATTCAGTCCTAAATAAAAAGTCTAAGTCAGCTCGATACACATACAGACAGCATATTTCTGCCAATGGCTTCCATCGTCTCAGAGCTGTTTTTTTTTTTTCCTGGCAAAAGGTTAAAATGCAACTAAAATTCTGCTTTCGTGATTAATAAGTCACTACCACAGTTGTGTCTGATGCTTCCTGTTTGCCCCATTTTAGTATTTCAGTTAAACTGGAAACATCTGAGCATTATGGGCACTTTTGATGGCACCAGTGTGAAACTGGCGGGGAAGGGGACAATTCCATGTTAGTAGATTTAGGGAGCTCCAAGGATGTCAGCCCCTGTGGTCTCCACACACCAAGATCCCTAGTAAGGGAATGGAATGAGATTGAGTGCTTTCAAGGGTGGACATTTAAAGTGATGCACGTGCAAAGGCGCTGCGTTTATTTGGTGATGCTGACTGAAATATTGAAAGCAGTAGCCTAGAAAGGGAAGGCCAGATATAGGGCAAATTGAGTAGAAGAACATTTCAGTTGAGCTGAGCAGGACTTTGAGGTATAGGGTCCTTACTTCTGGGCTTATTATTGCCTGAGTGCCAATGCAGAAAAAGTCATTTTTCTTCAGTAGCCTGTGTGTTCTTCTAGTTTAAAAGATCCTCTTCCCTTCTTGCTATTTTGTATCCCTTAATTCCTCAGCTCCCTGATATAAATCACTTGAAATTTTGTGGCATCAAAAGTAATCTAATAGGCCGGGCGCTGTGGCTCACGCCTGTAATCCTAGCTCTTGGGAGGCCGAGGCGGGCGGATTGCTCAAGGTCAGGAGTTCAAAACCAGCCTGAGCGAGACCCCGTCTCTACTATAAATAGAAAGAAATTAATTGGCCAACTGATATATATATATAAAAAAAATTAGCCGGGCATGGTGGCGCATGCCTGTAGTCCCAGCTACCCGGGAGGCTGAGGCAGAAGGATCACTCGAGCCCAGGAGTTTGAGGTTGCTGTGAGCTAGGCTGACGCCACGGCACTCACTCTAGCCCGGGCAACAAAGCGAGACTCTGTCTCAAAAAAAAAAAAAAAAAAGTAATCTAATAGCCAGCCTTTGTATTTTCTCACAGTACTCTTGTGAAGAAAGGCAGGGGCAAAGATAAGAAAAGTGAAGCCCAGTAAGGAGAAATAAGGTAGATGAGATTATTCAGGAAATCAGTGTCATGTCCAGAATCTAAACTCACTTTTCTTGACATCTAGTTCACTGCTTTTTCCAACTTGCTCGTGAAAGGATGAGGATTTTGAACATAACTAAACCAGGGTAGCAGTTTTATTTGTTTACCTATTTATTTATTATAACAGTTAATCATTCATTGGCATCAGTTGTTAAAATGAATAGCCTATTGTCTGGACAGGTCTGCTTATGCCCATTTTCCAGATGCAGAAACTAAGGCAGAGAGGTCAAGTGATTTTTCCAGAGCAATAGAGCAAGTCCATGATGTCTCTATGTCACATGTGGTGGTTTAGACTGTCAGATTAGACAGACTGGGGTCAGGTCCAGGTTTGCCACTGTCTGCCTGGGTGCCCTCAGGCAAATCACTTCACTTCTCTAAGCATTGGGTGTCTCATCCGTCAGTGGGATCAGAAATACTTCATCAGCTGTTTTGAGTAGAAAATGAGAGGCTGGCCAGGCGTGGTGGCTCACGCCTGTAATCCTAGCACTTTGGGAGGCCGAGGCGGGCGGATTGCTCAAGTCAGGAGTTCGAAACCAGCCCTGAGCGAGACCCCCGTCTCCTACCACAAAAATAGACAATAAATTCAATTGAGCCAACAAATACTATATAGCAAAAATTAGTGGGGCATGTGTGCATGCCTGTAGTCCGCTACTCGGAGGCTGAGGCAGTAGGACGGCTGAGCCCCAGAGATTGAGGTTGCTGTAAGCCAGGCTGACGCCACGGCACTCACTCTAGCCTGGGCAACAAAGTGAGACTCTGTCTCAAAAAAAAAAAAAAAAAAAGAAAATGAGAGACTATATGAACTCAGTGCCCAGCACATAATAAGCCACAGAACACAGTGGCTGTAGCTCTTGTTGTTGTTGTTGTTGTTAGTAGTAGTAGAAGTAGTAAGAGCAGTAGTAGCTTTTGACTACTAACTACATTGTGACTAAACCTGTTTTCTGTAAGATGATGTCCAGAAGCGTCAGACTGCCTGACAGGACAAAGAGTCATTTTCTCAGCAGGACCTTCAGGGGGACATTTCTTCAGTCTAGAGGTTTTAGCTGTCAATCAAGTTCTCCCTGTCTTACACTAAATACTGCCCTCACCACACTCCAGATGAGCCTGCAAAGGCCGCTCTTAGGGCCAAAGCCACTCTTAGGGCCTCCCAGGACTTTGAGCCAGAGGCAGAGTGGGGCCTGTCAAGTGGCCAAAGCTCCCCTCCTGGGTCCCAAGTATGGTTAAGTAGGTTCCTGCATTAACTGTGGAGATGAGAAAAAGGAAAACACTGTGTAGTGTGTAAGTCCACAAGGACTTACTCTTCTTTGTTTGGGGACTAGGGGAGAACATTTGGTTCTGTGTGGTGAGACTCCCACCACCACATGGCACCCCCAGCTCAGCACCCTCTCTCTCTTATAAATATGTCTTTGTCACCTTCTCTCCAGTACCATGTATGAGGCCCTGGATCTGCAGTTAGGGCTTTCAGATTTCCCTTTCAGTCTCATGGGAAGCCTGGCACTGTAGCACGTGCCTGTAGTCCCAGCTACTAGGAAGGCTGAGACAGAAGGATCGCTTGAGCCCACGAGTTTGAGTTCAGCCTGAGCAACATAGCAAGACCTTGTCTTAA